CCTTGGGGCTGGACAGGGTCTCTCCCAAGCTATGCCTGCCAGCAGGAACAGCAGACAAAGGCTCTTTGGCAGGCAGGCCGCCGCCCCCCCCCCCGTGCCATGCCGTGGGTTTCTCAAGATGCTCTGAACCGCTGTGCTTCCTTTGGTGAATGCCCCAAATCTGATTAGGGCTGGAAGGGGCCCCAGGGCGATTGGGTCGCCCTCGTCCTCGCGCCCTTCTCCCACAGAAGGCCTTGACCATGGCTTGTACTGCAAAGTTTTCTCCCGTCAGAGAAGGGGCTCTTGCCCTCCCCCCCCAAACCCTCAAATTGCTTAACACCACACACACCACCTGGACCGTCCTGCTTGCGGTGGGGAGGGTGAGGGGCCTTGCAGCAGGGACAGAGAAACGGACCTCCCTCTCTCTCTCTCTCTCCAGAGCATCCTCGATGGCCTGGAGGTGGAGGCAGCTTACAACCCCCTGGGCATGGCCAGTCACCTGTACCGAGGGCTGAGGCGTGGCCTGGCCCGTCCCCCTGCCTCCCGCCCTCCACGTCCCACAGAACGGCACTTGCCTCGACAGGTAAGGGGGCCAACCCCACGCAGAAGCGGCCACGAGGAGACTGGCCCAGGCCTGTTTTCTGGCCCCGGCACCGCTGGGGAGGCAATGGTGGGAGCGTCAGCCCACGCCGCTGGAGACCTCAGCCAGGTTCCCGGCAGAAGTGCAACCCTGTCGGCTTGTCAGATGCGGGTGTGTGTGTGTGTGCGCATCAGGGGAGGGGGATGCTTGCCTTCCCCCCGTTATGACCCCAGCAGCTTTTCCTTTTTCCTCCCACAGCAAGGCATTCGGGGTCATGGAAGCAAGGCCCGGGCCACCGTGGTCCCCCTGCGGATGGTCATCTCTCCCACACACACCCCGAGCGAGAGCGTCCTCTCCCTCTTCTCCAGCCCAGAGGATGAATTCCAGGAGACTTCCAAGTAGAAAGAAGCTGAGGTGGCCTGGGTGGGGGTCGATGGGGGCCCCCTGCAGACTCCTCCCCCCCCCTCCCCCTAACTGCCTGAGGTGCAAGCCACGGGACCCCAAGGTCTCCCTCCCTCCCTCCCTCCCTCCCACTCCTGGCCTTCCTCCCTCAAGGGCTCCCTCACCTGCCCCCCAGCAGCGCCAGGCCCAAACGAGGCCAGGGCCTGTTCAGGGTGCCCTCTGCCTTCGCCCCCGCCAGGGTTGACCCGCCCACTCTCCCCTCTAGTGAGGAACAGCCAGCCTCTCTCTCGGTCCATGTCCACCCACACCTGCACCCCGTGTGCCCTCTGCCAAAGGAAGAGCCCCCTGCGGCACCTCCTTCCCGTCCCCCCCCTCACTACAGACCCCTGGTATTTCTTGCCCCCCCTTCCCTCAAAGCCCGGACAAAGCAGGCACCACTGCGAGTGGGCTGGCCCAGCGTGCCCCAAGCCTGGCTCCCCAGCCCCCAGGGGCCAAGGTGGGCTGGGAGAGGAGTGGGGGCTGGGATGGGGGGTGCACAAGCCCTTGCCCTGCTTGGGGTCAGCTCAGAAACTCACTTTGCATAATGCCCTGGTCGGCGGACGGCTCCCCTCTCAGCAACAGGAAGGCTGTGGAGGCAAGTATGGCCCTCCATGGCTTCCTGAAGGCTGAAAGGGCAACAGCAGCCAAAGCAGGATCAGGCCCTCCCTCTGCAGCGGCCAAAGGCGGGGAGGTGCTCAGGCCTGGCTGGAGACCCTCTTGTTCTTTCATGGCCCAGCATGCCAGAGGGCAGCGCAGGGGTGTGTGGTGGAGGGTTCCTGCAGGGGCCTCGCCCTCCTTGCCGAACGGTGGGAGAGGGGAGGGCAGAGGCGCCGGGCAGCCTCCCTCCGGTGGGAGGAGGAGGAGCGGTAGGAGGCGACAAAGCGCCAGGGATGAGGCTCTGCCGAAGGGGGCGACCTCTGAGGGCACAGGCACAGAACCCCCAGGACCCAGGCACCGTCCGTCCCACGGAAGGAGCGGCTGGAAGACCACCCGGGGCCGGGGGGCTTCCCAACTTCTTTCCACCTGCGGCTCATTCGGCCTGCCCCAGAGCCTCCCCGGTGCAAAGGAGTCGCGTGGCCCCTGCCTCTTCTCCTGCGGCACAGGTACCCACCTCTCTGGGGGCAGGGGCGCGACTCAACCCAGGGCCTGGGCGGGGATAAGGCTTGGCATGTAGAGAGACCCGCTGGCCAAGCGGGGGTGGGAGGGGTGGTGGAGGGAGGTGGCCGTGAAGGATGAGAGGCCATGGAAGGACAGCCCCCCCCCCGTGGCACACTCTTTGGGAACCGCTGCCCCGGGCTGCCAGGAGTGCCCAACAGGGAGGCAAACCGTGTGGCTGACCCTGCTTGTCCAGCCCTGGCCCAGCACCAGACCCTGGCGCCCCACCTCAGCTGGCTGCCCCTGGCAGCTCTCCCACAGTCTGCCAGCTCTCAGGCAGGAGAGGAGGTGCCCCAAAGGGCTGTGGTTTACACACACCCTTGACTCACAAGGAAAAGAGGCTGGCTTTCACCGACCACAGAGACCCCAGCTGGAAGGGAAGGGTGGCACGGCCCCTTTGAGATGCTGCAGCTGGCAGAGGATACGGCTGGTGCCCTGCAGGAGCCGGGACGCGTGGAGGGGGGGTGCGTACATACCAAAAAGCCACAGGCATCTGTACGGTTTGGTACAAACCTCCACTCCCTGCTCCAGATCTCATCCTCCCACAGCAGATTTCCCGGAAAAATGGGAATTCCTTCAGGTCTTCCCAAGAAAGGTGTGCACGAGGCGCCTTAGCCCTGAGCGTGTTCGGCTTCCTTCAAATGGCATGGCTTTAATAATCAAAATAAACATCTACATCAAAAATATTTTCCAAATCGTTCTTCCCAGAGGCAATGGTGTTTGGCAGGATTCGTCCAGGACTGTCTGGAGCATACAAGCCACGCTAGCCCAAAGCCACCTCCTCCTTCCAAATTCACCACAGCCCCCATGCCTGGGACTTAGGGGTCCCGCGCAAGGGGGGGGGAGGCGTGGAGTTCTGGTCCCGGCACCCGGGCTCCCCTTCATATCTCCCCCAGGTCTTCGTAGACTGAGGCGGGCCGGCTCCCGTCCACGGATTGCTCTTGCCCAGCACAGCCTATGGGCCCGGCCAGAGGGGCTGGCGGCAGCTTCTGCACGCGGCTGTAGATGGGTTCGGGCGGGTGGGGGTGGTTGTTGCTGTTGTTGTTACAGTTGCTCCCAGAGCCGAGCTTCGGCCTGTCCTGGTCGGGCCCTGGGGCCGAGTGGCCCTTGCTGGGGCCGCCCAGCTGAAGCGCCTCTTTGTAGCTCCGAGGGGGCTTGGGGGCCGGGCAAGGCTTCGGGGGCCTCTTCTCTGCTTTCTGGGGGAAGGCGGGGACCGCATAGTCGCCGGCGCTGGGAAGGTACGGCAGTTCGTAGCCTGCCTGGGTCGCCAGGCCTTGCGTGCGCCAGGCCTCGCACGGGAAACGGGCCTCATCGTAGATGGCAGTGGGCGCTGGGGCCGGCAGCGGGGCCCGGCCTTCTGGCTCATCGTAGATGTGGCCCTTGATGCTCTGGGGGTGCTGCCAGCCGCTCACCCCCGGCCCCACTTGCTCATAGAGAAGCCAGGAGGCTGGGCGCTGAACCTCCTCTTTGGCCCCACTGCCCTCCGGTTTGCTGTCGGCGGGATCTGCATACAGCGGATCGGGCCTCAGCCCATGGCCCTTCACGGCATCGAGGGGCTCAGAGTAGACGTTGGCCGTGTCTTCGCAGGGTGGCCGAGGGTGGCCGGGCTTCCCGACAAGCCCAGAGGGGGCTGTGGCATGGCAGGGCCTCTGGTTGCAGCCCCTCATGACCGGCCCCTTAGGAGGCGCCACTGCCTTGTCCTTCTCTTCCAGGGGGCAGCTGGGCCTGGGGGCCAGGGCAGCGCCAGGCCCCCTCCGCTCCAGAGGAAGGCCCTCCCCAGCCAGGTGGAGCGCATTGGCCATGGTGTCCTGGATCTGGGCCAGGCCAGGGATCTCGGTGTCCAAAGAGGTACCGCTCTGCCTGTTCTCCTCTGCCTGGGCCTTCTGGGCATGAATGGCCGCCTCCACGACATGGAAGATCTCATTCCCCTGCTTCGTCTCAAAGGTGAAGTTGCCAGGGCCAGATTCACAGCGCCGGCCTGCTTCAAAGGAGAACATCACCTGCGAGACAGAAGTCAGACTCAGTTCCCCAGGCAAAGCCATCTCAGAGAGGACAAGGAGAGCAGGGTTGGCATGCAATGGGCAACTGCCTTCCGCTCCCCCCGGCACCATGTGCCAAGCCCAGGCGGAGGGGCCAAAGGCAGAGCCCTGGTGCAGGAGCAGCTGCCCTGAAGGAAAAGACAGCCTCCCCATCCTCCAGGAACTTCTGTCTTGAACAAGCCACTGAATCCCTTGGGCATCATGTCCCAGAAGGCAACGGGGGGTCCCACGTGCCTTTTTTGTCCTCCCCAATCCAAGCAATCTGGCCTGCCAGCCTCCAAACACACCCCCCACACCCCTCTCTGGACCCACCTTGTCCCGGCCGTATCTGCGGAGGAGGCGATAGGGCCAGGTGTAGAGAGGCTGGCCGGAGGGGGACTCTGCAAGGATGAGGCTGTCCCGAGAGGCCTTCAGCACGTACCCCCCTTGCAGCTTGCAACGCTCAGAGGCCTCTGTTTTCTGCACTGTCACCCAGAACTCCTTGACTGGGAGAAAGGGAGAGGAAAAAAGCACGGAGCATCACCCCACAGTGTGCAAAGCCCCAAACATCTCTCCCACCTCCCCTGCAAGGCAGAACTCTCCATACAAGCATCCCCTCTCATGGCACCTTCAGGATCACAAGGCTTCTCCCCACATGGACTGCACGCTTCACCTAGGCCCGTTCGCACATGCTGTGGTGTCTCCCTGACACATGCTCCACCCTCCAGGTGACGGGGCAGGTCCCTGACGGGGCCCGGTGGGAACATCCACAGTGGAGGAACGAGGCAATCTTGCCACAACCTGCCACGCTGTGCCTACCTTCTTCTCGTGAGAAATAAATGGCGTTTGTGGCCATTTCCAGTGTCCGCTCCTCGCCGCTCCCATCTGCCGGCTGAGCTACCCTGCCAGGGCTGTGCTGTCAAAGGGAGGCGAGTCAGTTCCCAGGCACCCGATGCCCTTGCCAAGCGCAGAAGAGAAGTGGGGGGCTCCCTCCCAGGCAAGGAAGGACCCTGCCCTTCCCCCCACCCTGCCAACAGTGGCAGCTCGGCCGACGGAGGGCTCCAGGACCAAAGCCAAGGTCCGAGCTCTTGGCCCAGGGGCCGGGAAGCAGGGAAAGGACAAGCGGCATCAAGGGCCTCTGAGTCCATGCTCCCCCCCCCAACTGCCACCAACGCCCACCCGCCAGCCCACCCACAGGCCTTTTCAGCCCCAGCAGACGATGAAACTGGGTCAGGCGCCACAGGGCGTCCGAAGCGGGAAGGTCAGGCAGGCTCACCTGAGATTCCCCCTCCCACCCAGCCACCCACCTCCGAGTCCGGGCCACTCCTTCCTTCTCCTCCCTCACCTCCAGCTCACCGGAAAGGCTGCCTCGCAGAGCTTGGCCACCCAGTCGGCCGCCTCCAGGGGCTCCGTGGCAAAGAGGTAGGTGCGCTCGCTGGTCTCCAGGCGGAAGGTGGCCAGGCCTTCCTTGGAGCTTCCGTCCGGGGCCGGCGCGATGCTCAGGCAGTTGGCCAGCCGCACTATCTTTCTGTCCAGGCGCTTGGTGGCCACCCTGTCGGCCACAGGGGCCCCATCCTTGCAGTCAAAGAACTCCAGCCGCGCCACTCCGTGAGGACTGGCCTGGTACAGCACGAACCAGTTCTTCTTCCATCGCTGCAAACAGGGACGGCAGCGGGAACCGTTGAGAGCCGGGGAGGCAGGTGGTCGGCCCTCGGCACCATCCCGGGCCCCGAAGGGCCGGCGAGCGGTGAAGCCAAGCCCAAAGCTGGCTCCTTGCTCCAGTTGCCCCCCCCCCGCACGCACGCACGCGCACACACACTCACACGCAACCAGAGACACATCCCCTAAGCCAGAGTGGGTCTTTCTGACCATGCGGAGGACAGGGTGCTTTCTAAAAAGGTGTTGGTTGGGCTAAAGGCTTCTTGTGAGTTTTCACTGGTGCTGTGCTCTGGGATGAAAGAAAGATGGCCCTGTGCGATGGTTACTTCAGTTCTTGGGAGGGGGGAGGAATTGGGGTTCATGTAATATAAAATAAAATGCTTCCCCCCCCCAAAGATGGCACTCAAAGTGCCCAGATTAGATGGCATCAGGACATTATACCTCACACAGGGCGGGGGATGGAGTTAGGGTCAGTGGTTGAGGTGGGTCTGCCCCAAGGCACCCCCTGGAGATGGTCGGAACGGGGGGGGGCACAGCGCTTCGCCAGCCCCCCCACCCAGGACTCCTCCCTAGAGAGCAAAGGGCACCAGAAGGGGGCAGAGCTATGGGGCAAGGGCTCCAGGAAAGGGTGCCACCTGCAAGCCTTGGCCGGCTGGACCACAGCCGACCCTTCTCGTGACCGGTGACCCTCAGCGGACGCTCCACCGGCCCCTTTCCGCCTTGCTTCTCAAGAAGGAGGGGGGGCGGGAAGGAGGTCGGAGCCCAAACCTCCAGTGGCCCCTTTTGTGACCCTGGTTGCCCCCAAAGGGTCTCCAGCCAGGGAACCCGGAAGCACCTGCCGTTGGATC